TCGAAGGTGTCGGTTATATGTGAATTCATCATACCAATAATAGTATCATTCGCCGCTTACTCTTGGTGCCCATTATAAACTCTGATACGTTGAATCCTATCAACACAGTAGTAAAGGGAACTCGCTGAATATAGCACTATCATGGCTATTCGTAGTCTTCTTCTTTTTAATATGGAATTCACTAAGGAAAATATGTGAATGTATCGGCTGTGGGAACATATTGTTTTTCCAATTTTCAAATCTATAAAGTCTTCACACTGCGTTAGAACTGATGATACATTGTGAAGGCTTCCGAGCTGCCCTCCCTGAGGTCATCATATCCTCTGGCGAGTTACGTCGTGTAGAGTATTCGAGTTATCTCTTCCTTCTTGCTCAGCCGGGCCAACCCTACCCATTCGAATTCACCATCGACTATAACAGTACCACTGGTGCCACCCTACCAGCTGTACCAGCGCGACAAGGTGTGAATCTATATCAGAAGATTGCCTATGACCCGCTTTATAATGCATCGGTGTCTGATCCGAAATACCAGGAGCGTTTTACTCATATGAACTCTCTGGCTCTTTATGACTACTGTTTTTGTAAGACTCTCGCGATCGGTCCTAGTGGCAATGAAAATGCTATGGAATTTGCAAAGTACATTTCGAGGGAATTTTCGGAGTGGGACAAGTACCCTGCTCGAGTGAAGGCTGATAGTTATGCTGGTATACTAGGGTATGATGACAAGAACACCACATGGACCTTCCCTGAGTGTAAGGTTCTCAACGAGATGGAGTCCCGGCCTATCGTCACGAGTAGTCTACGAGATCCCGATGGAGTGGTACGGGCAAGGGACTATGGTTCTTATACCAAAACCAGGGTTACTCAGTCGACACAGAATGACCGACTGTGTGCATATATAGATTTGGAAGATCTAGAGAAGCCGATTATCAGGAGTAATGGTACCGTGAATACTAAGTATGCTCGATTCGATACGTTGTGGTGGGGTGAAAATGATAGGATTCAACGTGGAGATCCCAAGATGATGGACCGGAGTATATGCTGATATGGGATTTGCTCTTATACAAGCAGTTATTGACGACTT